TTCAAAATTTAAACGCTTTTGAATTACATTTTGTTTTTTTTGATTCTTTTATTTTTTCTTATTTGTTTGTTGAATAAGATTAAATTATCTACTTCAAACTATGCTATATTCTTAAAAATTTACACTATCAGATAATCTTGATAACCTAATCTTGAATAAGGACCATTTTATGTTTACAGTTTAGATTGAACAAAATAATTTTATCACAAACCCTTTTTTAATAAAGTTGATTGAAACTATAAAAATTTAAATTAATAAAACTTTAATAATTCTTGAGTTAAAAATTGAAATTAACCATATAATAAAATAATTTCTTTATCTAATTTTATGACTGTTGAGTAGCGCCACTATTATCGTTTTTCAAATGGAACTTAATATCGCCCCTCAAATAAATATATTGATCTTGTACCTTACACTTTTTGAAATTTTTAACTTTATTGGAAAAGTACAGCTTGGATTTTAGAGACTAATTTAACTGCATTTATAAAACTTCTTGCGTCCAAACCTAAATTTTATTCATAGTCTCAATTTAAATGTGGGAGGTGTATGGGCAAGCACAGACTACAACTTTTAAAGTTTCTGTCACTAATTGTAGGGATTCAGTAATTTTACTTGCAAGCCAACATGTAAAACTTTAGATGAGATTTAGGCAACATTAGATTGGTAAGGAAGCTTTCGGTTTAAGTTTATACTACAAATGTTATACTTATAATCAATATTTAAATAGTTTTTAAATCCAAACAGACCTGAAAATTATGTATAACCTTATTTAATTTTCTTCTTTTGTTCCAAATAAAATGATGGTTAATACAATATATTTGTCAGAAAAAAGAGGGTTACAACTGATCAAGAAATAATAATGTATTCAATACAAAAAAATGAAAAACTTTTACCTTTTAAAATTATGGAGGTTAAAGAGAATAATTTGAAATTTCTAAAATCACTAAAGAAATCCCTATTCTTATAGAATTAATATAAAATTCTTAAGACTTGATGAATTACTAAATGATTTAGGAGGATTTAGGTAATTTATGATTGTTTTTGTGGGTATAAGATTAAGATTCTATAATTATTAACATCTAATAATATCTATTGCTAATGACTTATATGAATTTGATATGAGTTGAGGTAAGCAGAATATCGATATTTCTATATTTATATAATTACACTCAAATACATAGAAAAAAGTTATTAGATAGAGCGTAAAAAGGCAGAGAAATGTTGAAGAGTTAAATTTCTAGAAAAATTGACATTATTCCTTAAATTCAAACAATCACAGCATTTTAAAATAAACCTGACATGTTTTAAAAAAGAAATTTAATGTTGATAATAAATAATCAATTGGTTTTTTTTAACCAACTCAATAGGCATTGAATTCTAGATTATCTGCAATTGAAACCTAAAACATTACAATATTTTGATGATTTCAAAGAATCTTTGACAAAAAACATGTCATAGAACTAGGTTTTAGAGTTTTAAGTTCCATAATACCAATCGAATCCTTATTTCATGATGATTGTATTTGTTTTTGCAAAGACCTATGTATAGAAATAAGTTACTAATTTAAGTGATTAAGTAATTAAAGAATTAGATATTGAGTATATTTAAATACTAACACCATTTAGAAATATATTCTTATTTTTTAGTTTACATTAATCATCACACCCATCATCTTTAACAAGATTTCCATCATCAAATTCCTCCTTCTTTACTCTTATGTAATCTCCAAATTTATT